ATATATATATTTATAAAATCAGAGTAGGAAAGGATTTCTTGAACAAGACACCGAAAGTACAAACAAAAGACTGGTAAGTCTGACATCAAAACCAAAACTTCCGTATGAAAAATGACATTAATAAAGTTAGGACAATCCAGAACTATATATAATGAATATGACCTGCAAAAGATAGTTATTTAACATGTGTGTGTGTGTGTGTGTGTGTGTATTCCTAAAAATCAACAAGAAAAAGACAATGGCAATTAAAACTGAAAAAGTACACAGGACCTTTAACATGCCGCAGGGTGGGGAGACAGTGAGCTAGGGGGGCAGGAGCGGGAAACTTTTCACCACATTCCCTTTTGAGGTTTGAATCATGTGGATGTATTACCTGGTTAAAATATATATATATATTTTTTTATGTGAAAGGCAAAGACTCAGAATAAAAAAATATAATTAGCCAACAAAAATGAAAAAATGCTCATCTCTACCTGTAATCAAAGTGCTAATTTTAAAAACCAATTTATAAAATAATTTTAAAATATCATTTCATATATACTAGATTAAAAGACACAATCCAAATGTTAGTAAAATAGGAGCTCTCATATTTCTATTAAGAATATAAATTGGTTACAAATCATTTGGGGGCAGTATTTGGCCAGCAGTATCTTAAAAATCTCAATTTATGAGCCAGTAATCCCACTGCTGACACATACATTAGAGAAGATTGGCACATGGATGGTCAATACAGAATTATTTACAGTGGTGTGAAAATGGAAACAACTTAAATGTCTATTAATAAGGGAACTGATATAATTATATAATAAATACCAATACAGTTAAATGAATAACAGATTTAAATATATCGACATGGGTAAATCTAGACTGCATTGGTGGATAGAACATGCAAGTTCAAGAACACATTCAACATGATTACGACAAAATTAAAACAACATGAGATATAAATTACAGATTACAGTAAAAAGTATAAAAACACGCATAGGAATGAGAAACCATATTCAGGAGAATGTTACTTCTGAGGAAGAGAAAGGGATAAGGGAGAAAAACAAAGGGAGCTTCAACTGCATCTGTCATATTCTATCTCTATAACGAATGAGAGAAGTAAATATGATGAAATTGCCATTTACCATGTCTGGGTGGTGGGAACATGGGGGTAGGGAGATCAGCTGGAACAACCAGTGCCAAGGCTGCACAGCACAGCATCTTTCAGCAGCATCCAGAACAAAGGAACAAAGCTCCTGATGGAAAGAGCCCTGGGATTTTTGAAACGGCAGCTCCTCCCTGTCATTTTCTGGCCTCAGAAAGTGCTGTGTGGCACCCAGGTAGGTGCTTCAAATGTTATTGTCTTAAAAGCATTCTTGTTTCCACTGAGGCAAGCACCCTTTGGGATAACTGGCAGTCTGCCTGGATGGCACTGAATTAAGGTTGGACCCATCCTGGCTCTACCGTTACACAGTAAAACCCTGACTAGCTGTCCAAAAAGCCACATTTTCAAGAGAGTGCCAAGTTTCAAAACAGTCCGGGGTAGAGCTAAGAGCATGTGCTCTCTATCTATAGTCATTCAGAAGTCCAAACCTCCTCCCTGCCAAGTCTTAGCTGAGCGATCTTGGACAAGTGACCAAACTTGTGAGGACTCAGTTTCCTTATTTGTGGATGGGAGTAACCCCATTTATTTTGCCTTTTTAAGAGAATTAGTGATACTACATTTAAAAAAATTTTAGTCAATCTGGGAATCTTTTAGAAATATGCTGTCTACTTCTTTCCCTGCCTTCCTAAACAGAGTCAAGGGAACTTAACCTTTTCTTGAGGACTCAGCATCACAATTACAGCAAAGCATCAATTATCAAAATGATGATTTCCCCCAAGAGCCAAGGTGTGCCAAGCCATTCACCCTAAACGAAATAAATGACCCCCGCGCTCTTACACTAGTACTGGCTTTTCATAGCGTTTTGGTCTCTGTCCACTCTTACTGTCAACTCTCAGTTGCACTGTGGTCATTTTTCCTCTCAATGCCAGTCTCTTTATATTCTTTGCTGCTTCCTTTCAATCGTGGAGTTGGAAATAGGATGGCACTGCTTATATATAAAAGTTAAACAAGGTCTGAGGGGATCAGTGTGAAAAAAAATGTAGGAACTTGAATCCTGGAAGCCTTCTTGGCTGTGTAGGTACAGATAAGTAAGGCTGTTGGGCAGCCAAGTCCTGAATGGCACACAAGTGTTATGGGATTTTATGGAACATGTTATGGGATAAACTATACTCCCGACTATAAGCACATCCTAGTGTCCACTTGGGAGCAAATTCTGCAGCAGACCTGGGAGGACTGGTCCCAGTAACTCCAGGCACCCTTTCACTTTCCCAGGCTGGAGGAACACAAGCCAGCCTGCCCCTCTGCCAGAGAGCTGACTACAGCTTAATGTCTTAGAATCTTATATCCTGGGCACTTTCAGACAGGAATAGAACATTTGTGAAGAACATGAAAATTTCTTTAATTCCTAAGGTTTCATCACACAGTAGGGTTTTACTGATTCAACAAATATTTATTGGAATCCTATCATGCAACAAGCACGGGGATATAGCAATGTATAGGAGAGAGGCTGCATGAATACTGGTTCCCTTTTCCTTTCAATAAACATTTGCTATCTATTGCTCAAGAACCTCTAATTTACACACACACACACACACACACACACACACACACACACACACACAAACAAACCAAGTCTTGCAGCCTGAGGCGTAAAGGATCTATAAAGGATATGAGTTTTTAAGATCTCCCAGTACCTGTAGAACTCATCTCTCCTCTTGGGATCCTATTACCACGGTAAAACAGACTTCCCTCCTCCTCTTGCATCCTCCGGCCATTCTCAACCAGACTCCAGCATTACTCAGAGCAGCTTCTGGAACCCTCAAACTGTGTTTCCCGAAGGCTACATGCAGAGCCAGCATTGCTCCCACTGGAACCTTGTTCAGGTCCTATGTTCAACCCAGGTCTGTTCAGCATGAAATAATTTAGGAGTCCTTAAAAATCCACTCCTTGATCTTCAACCAAGGCTCTCTCCCCAGAAGCCAGCAGCAGAACTGTCAAAAGCCCGGCTCTCTCTTTGCTTGCATTCCCAGATGGCAACGGTCCACCTAGGGCTGGGCTTGACCCCCACCACTGCCTTCTTCTTCCTAATCTCATGGAGCAAAAGCTGGAGTAGACGAGACCAAGCCCAGATTACTCTCAGGATGGGACCCCAGGACAAAGTCACCGAGCCTTATTGATTATACCGTTCTGGATGGTATGTGAGATCAAAGAGGAGTCGAGCACATTTCCTACCCTCAGAGAGCTTCTAATCAAAATAAGGAGAACGGAGCTGAGACCAGTTGCCAAGGCCAGGCCTTGTTCCAGACAGCTAACTCCAGAGGGGCTGCCAGCATCTCTAGAGGCACCTACTTACAACCACAGGTTAATTGACTCTGCCCAGTTTTCTTTCTCCCGTGACTTGAGGTCATCGATATCACAAAAATGTCTAGGGCTGTTCAGGGCCCTCTTTGCAACTTCCTCTGAGGCCAGATTACATCTAGCTTTAGCTGGTTCCCCAGGCACCAACTGGCTGGCGCAGAAAGTTCTTTCACCACAGGGCCTGCCAGGCTGGCCTGTGTGTGCAGCTGGGCCTTCAGGGGGAGTGTTCTGGCTGACGACCACTTCCCTGGGCCCCACCCTCCACCACCCAGCTTCCTGAGCTAGGGCAGGGCCCCCAGGAAACCGCTCGACCGCAGTTTGGCAGCAGTCTTTTAGATGGGCACCTCCCTTTGAGGTCTGTGGTTCCAGCTGAGAGAAGAGACTCCTCAGGCTGGCTGGGCAGAAGCAGCACAGAGCTGAGCAGAGTCCAGCCAGACCCTGAGATCTCACAGTATCCGTCCATCCTTACTCTTAAATTCCAGTCCATGGTGGACCCTTTTCGACACTTTTTTCGGGGCTGCCTCTGAGCCTCCATCGGAATCCTCTAGCCCACCTCCACAGGCCCTCCTAGAATAGCTCTCCCCCGCCCTTCTCTTTTCCCCACCCTTTTCTCAACCCCTCAGCATAATTTATCTACATGACTTTGGGGGAGGGTGGAGAGCCTTTCTAGTGAGAGGCAGAGCAGAGAGACTAGAGTGTGTGATTCAACAGGGCTGATAGGAAACAGGGAATTCCAGAGCAAGGGAGGGTCAGGGCTGCCTCCAGCTCACCCAGTCACCAGGGGAAGTCTCACACACCTGGGAGTCCTGCCTTTTCAACCTTCGGGAATCTAGGGTCGATTAGAAAAACCTAACTAAATAGAAAGTCTGCACTAACTAGGATTTTTTTTCACCTCCCTCTAATTCCCCATTCCTGCCTAATACTTGAAATGGAAAACTTTTCATCTGCAGTCCTTAGCATTAAATATCGCAGGCTACTTCTGCTGAATTTGGTTGGAGAAATGACAAAAGACTATCATTTATCGAACACCTCTATAGGCTTTGCAAAGCACTTAACATACATCGTCTCATGTTCATTCTCACAGTACCATACGGGGTAGGTATGATGACTAACTCCATTTTACAGGTGAGAAACACAGGCACAAAGGTGTTTAGCACCACCGGGCTAGTAAGCTGTCAAGCTGGGATCTGAACCCAGGTGCGTTCAATTCCAAACCTTGCTCCTCAATGCTGCAGTGTTGCTAGAACTGGGTTTCAAGAAAAGGAAATCAGAGATGAAGGGAAATATCTCCTGCAGGCATTATCTCAAACATCCCTTCTTCGGGACACTTCCCAGATCACCCCATCTAAAACATCAGCTCACTTCCTTCTATGACAATTCACATCCACCTTCCTTATCATATTTTTCCACTTCTCACTAACATGCTTTCTATTTCAATTATCTTGCTTATTGTCAGCTTCTCCCACTAAAAGTCAACTCCATACGTCAATGATTGTTGTATATTTTGTTCACTGCTGTGTCTCCTGTGTCTAGCATTCATACGTAGCAGGTGCCAAATAAATGAATGAATGCTTTAAAATAGAACTAAGAGGCATGAATATAGTAAGGAAAAGATGATATATTCATTCAGGGGAAAGAAAAGGGATAAGAAAAGATAGTGAGAGAATCTGGCAGAAGCAAATGGGGGCCTCGAGATGGGCCCAACAAGAGGAAATGAGGGTCCACCAGATCCGCTGTGACTCCTAGAACATTC